CAACAACAACTACTTTACCAAGCATGATGTCCATCTGCAGGAACTGGTTGACTCTACTTTGAGGAGGCAGCTCTTCCCCAGTGGTATTTTGAGTGCCTTTCAATGTGAGGGGCTCATCTTCCAGTGCTATGTCAGACAATGTTCGGCTGCTATTCATAAGGTTTTCACTGGCCAGTTTTTCCAGAAGGTCCTTCTTCGTAGTCTGTATTTGTCTAGAAGCTGTGCTGAAGTCTGTTCACCATGGGTGACCCTGGAGGTATTTGAAATACCAGGGGCATAGCTTCCAGCATCACCACAACATGCAAGCCACCACAATATGACAAAGTGACAGATGCATGGTGAGGCACTATGATAGATGCTGGGATTATAGTAGTGACTAAATCAGACATAGTTCCTGTCAAAATGGAATTTACATCCTAGTGGAATAACACACAAAAGAATACAAATAAAGTGGAATTAAAGATTTTGATAAGTGCTATGGAAGAAATAATCCAGATGCTAAACACAGAATAATAATACAGAGTAGGACGGATAGCAGATGAGGTAGTACTCAGAGTAGCCAGGAAATGTCTCTTTAAGGAATTCCCATGTATGCAGAGGCCTGAAAGATGAGCAGGAGCACACCATTAGAAGGGTAGGAAGAAAAATGTTTGAGGCAGAGAGAACAGTATGTGCAAATGCTCTGAGGCTGGAAAGAGCTTGGCTTTGTGTAGGGAGGAAGGGGAGAAAATAACAAGAAATGAAGTCAGAGAAGCAAGTGTGTACACAGCATGAGGGCACTTGGTAGGTAGAGCTCTGTGGTGGAGTTGTGTGCCATCAAGTTGATTCCTACTCATAGCGACTCTATAGGACAGCGTAGAACTGCCCCATAGGGTTTCCAAGGCTGTAAATCTTTATGGAAGCTGACTGTCACATCTTTCTTCCATGGTGTGGCTGGTGGGTTTGAAAGGCTGACCTTTTGATTAGCAGCCAAGTGCTTAACCACTGTGCCACCAGGGCTCCTTAGGTGGATCCAGAGGCTAGATTTATTCTAAATGCAGTGGGAATCCACAGAAGGGAAATGTTGTGATCTGATACATATTTAAGAAGAGGACTCCTGCTGCTGTGTAGAGAATGGATTAATTGGAGAAGGTAAAAGTGGTAATTGAGAAAACAATTTAGGAGGCTATTTCAGCACTCCAGGAATGTAATGCTTGTTACTCAGATAGGGAAAATGGGGAGAAACAGGTGTATTTTGAAGTTAAAATGCAGAAGACTAGGTGAATTGGATGTGGTAGGTAAAGATATGAGAGGAATCAAAGGCATATGCTTTGAGCAAGTAGGTGGATGTAGGTAAGACAGTGAAGTGGCAGGGAGGAGAAAGTGTTATTGAAGGTTGGCAGGGTTGGAGAGGAGGGACAGTAGTGGGGGGATTAGGGTAGAAAATGAAGACCTGTTCTCATTCAGCCTTCTATCAGCTGCGAAAGGGGCAGTCCAGACCCAGGTGCTTGGCCTGTTTCCACGTGTCCTGCTAAATATCATAAGGCAGCTCTTTGCCACCAGGGTGCTTAATTATACAGAATACCGTTATGAAATCTTATTAGCCATCTGCTTTAGGAAGGACAAGCTAAGGCGATGAGGTAGAGAAATGCTGTTTCCACTTCTGTTTGCCTGTATCCACGTAGAAATGGAATTAGAAATTCCTAGTATTCCTGTAACTCAGTTTAGGAGAACCCTGAATTCTATCTACTGGAGGAGAAAGAGGAAAGGACTTTTTCACAAACAGGCATGGGAATGTAGGGCCACCCTGCTCAACATGCTGTGGCTATACTTATTCACTCCACAAATATTTTTTGAGATTCTTCTACATGTCAGACCCTGTTCAAGGCACTGGGTATATAGCAGGGAAGAAAAACAAAACTCTTGCCTTTTTGGAAGTTACGTTCCAGAATATTGGTTATGTCAGTGCCCTGTTCAGAAACTTTCGATGATTAGCTGGCCATTTCTGCAGCATAAAATCTAAGCCTCTGCTCAAATCAGACCCTCTACCACTGTCTCACAAACCACATACTTTCTCACCTCCAGGCCTTGGCTTGTGCTATTTTTCTCACCTGCCTGACTTCTCTGTTCTTAAATTAGCCAGTCTGAACCACTCAGCGTTGATAGTGAGTACCCTAGGGCATGCTGGGCAGCATCTGGTTCTGATGGTTGGTGGCTGTGCTGAAGCAGTTATTAAAAACTTCAGTTGTACACCTGTGTCCACCCTTCCAGGTATAGCTCAGTCCCTCTTCTACCCTTTTCTAGACCCTTTTCCCAGCTCTCAGTGATCTCACCTTCATTTGAACCACTGGCACTTACGGGTCTATATCACTTATTTCACAATGCTTACTGACTTTCTTATGACATCTGGTATATAGTTGTTTGCATCTCTGTTTAACATTTTGATTTGTATTTGACTTACGTGTATGCCTTTTCATCCAAAATAGGTGGCAAGCCTCTTGCATAAGTCATGCACTAGGGATGCACTTATTAATCAATCAAGTGCATCAGGGAGGGACTCGGCATTTCATAACATCTCTTGGGGACTTAAAGTGGAGAGGACCCCTGTTTTTGCTGACATTCTGTGTCATTGTGCCTATCTCCAAGCAATGCCATCCTCCAGGGCCTTTCTCCAACCCCATCTCCTGTTACAGAGCTGTCCCCCATCACCTCGGCTTTGCGGGGCCATTACCATGCCAGCACCCCTGAGGATGCTGCATTAAAAAGACAGTGGGATGTCTTGCTTGCCAGCAAGTTTAATGCAGGATGACACTCCTGGCACGCTGAATTAAGGTGCAGGTGCCAACAGCCCCAGAGAAGAATCTATTTCTATGTAGATTAAAACAAGAAAATGATGGAGCACAAAACACCTTTATTTTCTTATATTTAAATGGAAAGAAGACAGTAATTAAGCCAGACCAAAAGATGTGTTCCGATTGTTAATTGCTAAGAGGTGCAGTATTTTAATTTATCCTGTTTCATTTGCAGAAGTGGGCAGACGAGGTGCATGTTCTGTGCTGTTGCCCCTGGTATAATGCCGACAATTTGAGAATTAATCATTTTTGGAGGTTCCAGATTTGTTACTTTCCAACTGTAATTGCAATTATTTTCCCCCTCTGGGTAGAATCTGTGGAAAAACATAGTAGCCTTCTACATAAGAGCATATGGCTAGAGAAACTTGACTTCCTTAAGGGCAAAGCTGGTTTACAGATTTACTCAAATAATCCCCACATCATCATTTAACAGGTCTTAAGTACATCACTCATAATTTGTTGGTCAGGTCAGTCAACCAAACAACTATACTTACAGTTTGAGAACAAGAGGCTCAGTGGGGCTCCATCTAAGCATTTAATATTCCTGTTTCTGTTCGTAAAGCTGGGTGAGCACACAGTAGCATGCATCACTGTAACTGGCTCCTGGCTGTAGAGCAGTAGTTGATGTGTTTTGCATTATGCTTTGGGAGCAGTGATGATGTCAGATGTAGGAGGAAGGGCTCAGCTGCATCAGCCCATTAATCAGCTCTTCACTGAGCGCCTCAACAATGCCACACGCTGAGCAGGGCACCATGAAGGTCGAGACACAAGGCAAGGCTTCCCCCCCTGCAATGAAACATTCAAATCCGCATTCTAAAAAAATGCAGAAGCCTGACCCCTAGTCTAGAAGGTAATATGTTTTTTAAAACTCCCCAGATAATTCTAATATTCATCTAGGGTTGATTATCACTAGTATAAAGTATAGTTTGGTTTTCAAGGCATCTGGAGTCTGATTGGGAATATAGGACTGAGTCCCTGGGTGGTGCAAATGATTAATGCACACGGCTGCTAACTGAAAGTTTTGAGGTTTGAGTCTGTGCAGAGTTGCCTCAGAAGAAAGGCCAGACAATTTACTTCCAAAAAATCAACCACCGAAAACCCTACGGAGCACAGTTCTACTCTGACAAACACATGAGGTCGCCATTAGTCAGAATCGACTTGAAGGCAGCTGTTTTTTTGTTTGTTTGTTTTTAATAATGTGTATCTGTGTCTGAGTGGTAGAATTCTTGCGTTCCATACGGGAGACCTGGGTTTGATTCCTGGCCAATGCATCTCATGCTCAGCCACCACTCTTCTGTCTGTGGATGCTTGTGTGTTGCTGTGATGCTGAGCAGATTTCAGCACAAACTTCTAGACTAAGACCGGGAAGGAAGGCCTGGAAATCTACTTACAAAAATCAGCCAATGAAAACCCAATGTATGACAATAATCCAATCTGTAACTGGTCTAGGTGCAGGGCCAGGCAGCATTTCATTCTGTTGTGCATGGGATTGCCCTGAGACAAGGGCTGACTCAACGGCAGCTAATAACAACATATGTATCTTATACAGTTAGCATATGATAAGTTTCAAGAGAGAGGCGTGGCCAACATAACGTGTTTAAGGGAGGAACAGATAAATCACTGGAGGTAGGTGATCATGAGGGAGGTGGGATTTAAACCTAGGTTTTAAGGATGGGTAGGCTAAAAATAAGTAAGACAGGACATTCTGGTGACAAGGCCAGCATAGACCTAAACTCAATGTCAGGACTGTGTAAGGTGTGTGCCAGGCAGAGTAGTGGAAAGTAGTGAGAAATCAGATGGACCTGCAAAGAACTTGGGCCCAAAGGTGTATTTGAGTTTTCCGTATATGCTAGTAAGTAGCTGCTTACATTGACAAGTTATTTCACTTCCCCGAGCTCCAGTTTTAATAGCTTCAGGAGCAATAGGGACAATAGTTCCTATCAGGTTGTTTGGTAAGGTAAGGTAATGGTTATAAAAGAACTTGATTAACTATAAAGTTCTACCAAATGCAAGCTGTTGTTATTGGAAGGGAAGACATTGTAGGTTTTAGAGCAGAGGAGTGATGTTACAAAAAAAAGCGTTAATTGTTTTTGTTCATCCTGTTTTTCTTGAGTGAGTGAATTAAAAATAAATACTCATCCTCACTATTTTCTTAATGTAACTGTGTTTAAGGACCTGGAGCCCAGCCTTCAAAAAACAAAAAAACAAACAAACCAGAAAATAACCCTAACGGCACATCATGGCTACTGCAGAGTCTATGCCCGAAAAAGCTGAATGTGAGTATCCACACTTATGAAGAACTTGACACACAATGCATGGTGCACCAACTGTTATAAACTGACCTTTCTATTAATGAATAACTAACTCTCAGAACACTGCTTATTGGCACACGTTGTAAGACTCCATCCCATTCCCTTTATTTAAATATAATCAACTTTTGAGAGATATGTAGCAACTTTCAACTTAGTATATTGTCCAATACTGCGACTATCCATATGTAACTATTTAGTGCTTGAAATGTGGCTAGTACAACTAAGGAGCTGAATATTTAATTTAATTTTAACTCATTTTTATTTCAATTTGAAAAACAACTTAAAGTTCAGTTTACTGGAAAGCATTCAAGAATGTTTAGAACAACTTGGGTGTGTGAATCTACTTTTTCAAGTGACATTTCACAAAATCTAAATACACATCAAGATGTCATGTGTAAGTGCAAAAGACACACTGGATTTTTAAGACTTAGAGCAAACAAAAAAGAATGTAAAATTCTCATTAATTATTGTTTTTAGTGTTGATTAATGTTGAAAAGATAATACTTGGGGTACATTTTGTTTAAATAAAATATGCTATTAAAATTAGTTATGTATTATTAAAGTGAATTTCTTTTTCTTTTTTTTTACTTTTTTAAAAATGTGGAAAATTTTAAATTACATATGTGGTTCATATTATATTTCTCTTGGACAGAGCTGTTTTAGACTTTACAACACTGTAAGTAATCTTAAACTTAGATTTAGGAAGCATAATTGAGAAATGGATAATCCTGTACAAAGAGCTGGGATTTTTAGGATTTTCTGCTCTGCTGCCTCTTTGCCTCTTTGCTGCTTGTGACCCAGCAATAGATGATACAGGCCAGCTGGTACTCATCCAGGGCTACCAATAAGAGCTTGTGTGGATCTCTTTAACTCTCTGTTTGGATAATACAACGTATTTTTAAAGATGGAAAGGGCAGAAAGGGAGGAAGATCCAGGAAGTGGAGGAGGAATGTTCTCTAGTTTCATTTTGCCTTTGGGTCATGCCCATAATTAAATTATATTTGAAGTCTTGATGCTGTGAACTTGGAATTCCCCCACATCTCCCTAGTAACCTTATCCCAGTCTGAGAAGTATTAACATAGATTTTTTTTGGGTACATTTAATAAAATCTCTCAGAGGTATGTAGAGAACTTATTGGTTATTTATTGTTACAAAGAGGATAAGATACTTTGATAAAGAAAACCAAGGAATAACGGAGAAGGGAAGTGAGGAAACGTATGTTGATATGAGACAACTCAACACAGTACCCTTAATTTGGAACTGAAGAGATGGGTCTTGATGCAGAAAATGTTGTGGGAAAAAATTGTTGAATATGTGTCATGGGAGAAGATAACCATATGCCACTTGAAATTTGGGTTTACTTGGTTCTTTACTCTTTTTGAAAAGAAATCAGAAATGGTATGTACTTTCTTCACTTATATATAATGGAATAGAATATAACTTCTTCTATTTGACGTTTTTTTTCGAAGTGGTTCTATTCTCTTTCCAGAGATTTGCTTCCACAACTCTTTACCTGAGAACTAATGACCTTAGTTCCAGCTTCTTCCCTCTCCAACTTCTCCCCGTCCTTGGCACGTCTAACTTTTTCCTCCATCTGAACCTACTTTTAGGAAGAGATCTTTTAGCACAAGTAGTGGTAGGCAAACTTTGCTTATTTGTTTTTTACTTGCCTGGTGTTTGATTGTTATTTTTAGCCAAGGAATTCTTTTCTTCAAAACAAATTTTAGGAAGAGCACAAATATGTAAAGCAGATAAGGCCTGAGCTATTCTGATTGAAAGAAGAGCCCTCAAGGCACATGAAATTAATGAAGCACAATTTTAAAACCACTGCCTTAGCGTGGATTTGATTCACTGTGTTGTTTCTCCTGGGCTATTTCTGGTTTAAATCTTATTTCTAATAATACAATGAAAAGCTTTATCTCCATAAAAGGAAATTCATACATTAGTAAGCTGGTGGTAGAGGATGGTTTATGTTGACTTTTAAAACAGCACCTATCTTTCCAAGGAAATCCTGGTGCCATAGTGGTTAAGAGCTATGGCTGCTAACCAGAAAGTCAGCAGTTTGAATCCACCAGGCGCTCCTTGGAAACTTATGGGGTGGTTCTACTCTGTCCTTTAGGGTTGCTATGAGTTAGAATCGACTTCATGGCAATGGGTTTTTTTTTTTTTTTGTGTCTTTCCAAATGGTTTGGCATTTATTTACAAATTGTTCTGGCACTAGATTCTTAAGCACCTGGAAGGCAGGGATAGCGTCTTATTTATTTCAGCACATTTAGCACCAAAATCAACATCTGGCTCTTAAAAACCAAAAAACAAATCAGTTGCCATCGGGTCAATTCTGACTCCTGGTGATCTCATGTGGTAGATGTTTAATGAAACTATGCTGAATTGAATCCAGTTGAACCTGAGGTGGAGCTTTCCTAACACCTATGAAACCAAACAATATAGGCAGTCAAGCTCTTAATGTGACTATATAACGGCTTTGGCCATGTGGCCACACATCTTTGTTCAAGATATATTCCTCAGTAAATTTTTGTGGATTTTCATTTTGAAGAATGCAGCCTATTAGCAGAAAGGATGGAAATCAAACTCTCTAAGGCCAGTTATTTTTGTTATGATTATGAAAAATACATGTTTGTAAGCCCCTGGATTTTTTAAGATGCAGAAAAGACTTGCTAAATGATTACACTCAAGAGATAAGCAGTGGCTCATTCTGTCATAATTTCCATAACTAGATCCATAACAACAGTAATAATAATTGCCTGCATTTATAGAAAGGTTTTTTTTTTTTGTGCCAGGCATTGCGCTAAGTGCTTTTCAAAAATACCTAAGTTAATCCTCACAATAACCTCTGCAAGAAATATTATTATCCCATTTTATAAGTGAGAAAACTGAGGCTTAAAGAAACGAAATAAGTCTCATGAGTAAGTTGGAATTCAAACTCAAAATAATAGTGTGACTCAAGAATGAGAGCTCTTAGAAGTCAGTCTATTTGCAATGGATATATATTTGCAAATAAACAAAGCCTTAATTATAGGTTTATTGTAAACAGAGAAGATGCAGACCTTGGCAACTTCCTCTTAATAGCTGAAGTTATAATGTGTACTCGAAAGTATAAAAGCTTCATGCTTACATACTTACCCCATTGTGAACAAAGAAATGGAAACCTCAGAGACTATAACTGGATGGATCCTTAATGTTAGAGTTGGTTAATTTACTGTAATTTTTAGAATTATTTGTTGAATATATGCATATATCCTTGGAAATTATAAAAATATAGAACGGACTCTAGCTTTGCCTTTTCAGAGGCATTGACTTACAAGCTATCTTGTGCTGCCTCAAGAATTTAACTCGTTTGATCAAAGGCTAAGTTTTAGTTATGGGAGAAAATGAGAATGGCTGCCTTAGGACCATAAATGACAACAAGGGCACGGGACTGCCAGGTTGAAGTCACTTTATCAATTTGCCTTTAGTGGAGCCAGCTCAGGACTCCTGTGAAATTGCTGTATTCTGGCTGTGACTGCCCTTTCCTGCTCTTTTGTAAACAATCCCAGGCCTTGTGCCATTTGAGAACCTCATGGCCTGACTATGGACACATTGTGGCTGTCCCTCGATGAATAGATGTCTTCTTGCTGGGCCCAAGGAGGTCATTAGGATTGCCAGAGTGTGCAAGAGCTCCTCCATAGTTCACTAGTACACCTGGGGAGAAGAGAAAATGAGACACGCCCCCTGATCACCAGAGAGCCCAACTGGGAAGACAGTTCTATCTTGGGAATTTAACTCTTCTGTCAAAGGTTAATTTTTAGTTATGGTAGAACATCAGAACAGCTGCCTCAGCACCTTCAATGGCAAGAAGGGTACAGAGTTGCTGGGTTGAAGTTCAAGTGTCCATGTGTCTTCAGGGAAATGTGAGTATTTCTCTAGGGTGGCGAGTCCAGTCTCAAAGGAGTCTCCAGTCTTGGGTACAAGCGTCAGGAAAAGCAGCAACATAGAAAAAAGCAGCAAAAAACTCTTGAGACTGGTGCCTGTGCAGGCTCAGAGCCCAGCTGTGTGACTTCAAAAGACACTCAGGCCCTCCGGGTCTCTGAACTTCACCTGTCAGTGAAGACTATGCAGATCGTCTCTAGGGTCTCATTGAGTATGAAGACCCTATGGCTTTTACAAAGCTACATTTTTAACAAAAACTGATAACTTATGTTATATGTTGATAGGTTCTATCACTTGTCATGTATATGACAGTTATGGAAATAATTATAAAGAAGGTTTGATTAGTCAGAAGAAGAGAGTTAAAAGAAGAAAGAATTATCATGAGAGGAGGAAAAAAGAGGAACACATTGTGGAGTAACACCTCGGGATAATCGCTGCCTTTCCTCCAGGAAATATGTGCTTTGGTTGGAGGAACCCTTAAAGAAGTTTAGACTTTAGTTGGAACTTGATGAAACAGACAATTTCAACTCCTAGTCTCTTATCTCTCCCATGTGGGTGCAGTGCAACTTATACCTTTGAATGACAAAAATTATATGAGCTGTTAATGGCGCTGATCCAATCACGTGTGACTTTGTTCTCTGATCTGTACAAGAAATATATACACTTCTCCAGAAACGTGCATGAAGTCTTAACAATTATACTCGATTGAAAAGAAGAAAAAAATCTACCAGTCAATATCCTTAGAAGTACATAGACAGCTGTGAATGTGGGGGGATACAATGACGATTGTGGAAGGACGGGAGATTTGAGTTTAGTAATAACTTAAAGCACTTCCCTTAGGGAGAAGCTAGAGAGCTAGAGGAGGTGACGCTATTTGTAGAATAACGTCAGAGGGACGATTCCAGTGCTGCTTATCTCAATGGGTCACCTTTAGGCTAAATTTCCTGTCTGCACCCAGCACTTTTGTGGTCAACCAGAGCCCAGTCTTTCCTCTTCTTGATTGCTAAGGTCTTTCTCAGGCTTCATTGCTCAGGACATCATTGCCCCAAAGTAACAGCTATCTGTGGCTCATGAGTGTACATAGTGGAAAGCAAGGGAAAATTTTAGGAAGGAATGAATAGAGAGTTTTGTCCTCAATATTTTATTATGAAATTTTCAAACATACAGCAAGTTTAAAAGAATTGTAAGTGAACATCCATATACCTATTTCCCAGTTTTTACTGTTTCTGTTTTACTGTACTTGCTTTCTATTCCTCTATCCATCCAACGTACATATCATTAGTTAGAATTCAATATTTGGTTAGAGTTTTTTCTTTTGATGTATAATGTACATATAATAAAATCCACAAATCCTGGGTGTATATTCATTGAATTATATAATTACATATGCTTCTGTAATCCATATCCATATCAAGATATAGAACATTTACATACCCTTAGAAATTTCCTTCATGTCTCTTCAGTCAATCCATGGTACCCACTATCAGAAGAATAACTGTTCTGATTTTTTTTTCTACCATATGTTAGTTTTGTTTGTTCTATAACATTATATAAGTGGAATCCTACAGTATGTACTTTTTTTATATAAGGCTTGTTTTACCCGGCATACTGTTTCTGAGATACATCCATGTTATTATGTATGTTAGGAGTTAGGCTCTTTTTTATTGCCAAGTAGTATTGTATGCATATACTACAGTTCATTTGTCCGTTCTCCTGTTGATGCACATCTTGGCTGTTTCCACTTTGGGGCTATTGTGAGTAAAGACGGAGCCCTGGTAGTGCTGTAGTTAAGAGCTTGGCTGCTAACCAAAAGGTTAGCAGTTCAAACCCACCAGCCGCTCCTTGGAAACCCTATGGGGCAGTTCTACTCTGTCCTATAGGGTCGCTGTTAGTCGGAATCGACTCGACGGCAGCGGGTTTTATTTTCTTTTATTGAGGAATTATATTTTGCAGTTATAATTTTATTGACAAGTTGTAAGGTAAATATCCTTGAAGAAATGTACAGCCATCTGCATTAGTCAACAGGTATGCTTTAGAGAACACAGGTAGAGTTGATAATAACTTTTTGTGCCGAAAGTAATACGTTGTTGTTCCTTCTGTATAGTAACGTTCAGAGAACTTTCAGCACTGAAGAATATTTCAGTTTTGTGTGTTTTCTTTGCTTTCTCTAGCCTTTAATAATTTAGGATATCCTATCTTGCCACTCTGACCATTACAAGCTGATTTTCTTTTTTAAAAGCAAAATGTTATTTTAGTGGCATTTCACTAACTTTTTTTGCATCCACTTACATTTTTATAAAGTCCTGCAAGATTCATAACTGATCAACTATTTTAATTTCACATTTTAGTTTCACTAGTTTTGATTATGAAAGTCCATTAGCGACATTAAACAATTAAAATGCTTCTCTCTGTTTCTATCTTAGATCCTACATCAGAGATCACCAAGCAAGATTTTTTTCAAGAGGCAAAAACTCTCATTGCTCAACATTATGAGAAAATAAATGAGGTTAATGCTTTGCATTTATCTAACATTAAGTTTTTCAGGAAACTAATAATTATTGTGTATACTACAATGATTATCTCAAGTGATTCCATGAACCCTAATATGTGACAAGCTCTGAACAGAATAGGAGAAAATTAAATCCTCAATAAATATGAAGGTTACATTTTAAAATAACATTTTTCAATTATACCAATTATTTAACTATACATTTATAAACTTTAAATATATATACATATGCACATATATATATTTACTTTGCACATTTCAAAGTTTAATGTTTCTTTTGATGAATTATAACAAATATTTGGATTTAAAATCTCAAGTAAACATCCCTTTGAACAGTATTTAGACAAAGCTAAACTAGAAAAGTCACATCAGTTATAGGTTTGCTGTAGGGTCGCTGTGAGTTGGAGCCAACTCAGTGACCATGTTTTTTCTTAAACTACAAAATGTACTATAAGGTGTGTCTCTTCTATGCCCCTAGCATGACAGCTTCCCTGTATCTTCTCCCATGTCACTTTGCATTACAACTGTTTACCAGTCTGATGACAGCCCCTTAAGGGCAAGAGAAGACTGTCTTTTTTGCATGTTGCATCTCCAGCTACAAGCACTATACCTGGTTCGGTATATATTTGTTGAATGGCACAGACTTGGAAAGTGATTTAAGAAGGGTGAAAGGGAAAGATTAGGGCAAAGAGACAGGAGAGACCTCACGGGCTGAAATTTTGGAGGAGAGTATTTACAGAGGAGATGAGGAATATTTGGGTAGGAGCAACTATGTGGACCTTTAGGGAGACAGGTGAGGGAAGGCGATCTTAGAATAATGGTTTACTGTGTGTCACACCAGCTTAGTCCCTTTTTAGACACTTTTAAATAAAGACTTCAAATAAAGATTTAAAACATTGTTCAGTGCTACCTGGAGGAGGGCTCTTGTAATTTTTAATGTTTCTTTTGAATCGCCCTTTATGATGAGACTGGCCATGAGGTGGTTTTAATCTTTTAATCAACAACGTTAATATTGTTTAACTAATCCTTTCCTCTAAGCAATTTTAAAAACAATTTTAAATTATCTTGATTTCACTAGTAGGCATATTGGATGAAAACTTCGTAGTCTTCAGAGTTAGATGTGCCTTAGCACCTTGACCTATTTTTAGAATTTTGTCTAATAATAACAGCATGATATTCCATCTTTGGTTGCTTGGCAAAATGTATTATTAGAATACTAAAATCTCCTTGGTGGTTGGCATCTTGAATTGGCAAGAATTTGAATTTAATTTGTCTGAGGCTTTTTTTTTTTTTTTTTTTTTTTAACTATAGCTCTATCTATGGGCAATAGAATGACTGAAACTACATTGTTTGGGTAATTATCTATCAGTGATCTGGGTTGCATTATTTTTCTATTCCTTACGGTGGTCAAAATTAGGAAGCATGTAGGTGACTGAAAGAATCTAAAATACAAATTTGATTATTAATATACTGTTCCTGAGAGCCAACTCCATATATGCCCAATTGTTTCTTATTTGTTTCCAGCAGAGAGATTTGGGGTGTTTGCATTTTATAGACATTTGAAACTAATTAAATTCTTATATGTTTGAAACGCCTATTTCAAAATACTTCCAACTGTATTTAGAAACACCACATTTGAGGAGAAAATTACTATTTTAAAATCTACATTTTTTGGCGGGGAGCAAAAAAAATAAATAATATCTACATTTTTTTAAAGTTGAATATAACCCTCATGCTTGTGAAAGGTTTTGGAGCACTACATAGGATAACATCTGATTTATATGATTACTGTCATGTAGTTCATTGTAAATGTCCTATACAGTAAGGTAATTTGTAAAATGTATTTAATGGATATGAGATTTTATTAAAATTTATTTTTGTTTCATTCATAGAATAAAATTCAAGGTACTTCTATAAATGTTTTTAGAAATAAACACCAAAAAACAAAATGTGGCAAATACATACCTTTGGAGATTAAAAAAAAGGAAACACTTGATGTGGTCCAAGAACATCAGATAGCACGCAAGAATATTTGTTTTCCCAAGGAGTTTTGCAAAAATGAATCTTTTGGAGAGCCTTCTCAACGAACTTTCAAGGAGCCACACTTTTTTCATGTAAAAGAAAAACACGAGGATTCTATAGATCAATTTGCAAAAGGTAAGTTTTTGGTGGAGTAAAGAAGTTCAGCAAACCAACAGATAAAACTGTTTGCTTCTCTGCACTTGTAATGGAATTTTCTTGTTAAGACAGAGCTCAGACTTTTAAATGTTAACAGTGGAAGGCAGGGAGGCATGATTAATAACCTGTTAACCTTTGGGGCCATCAGAAATTAAGAAGAGAGCATCCTAATGGGAAAGAGAAATTTAGGGGAACAAATAATATTCCTTATAGTACAAATCCTCAGAGATTGTTTATTTCAGCGTTACTAAGGCTTGACACAGTGGCTGCAACAATGGGCTCAAACATGGCAACGATTGTAAGGATGGTGCAGCACCCGGCAATGTTTTGTTCTGTTGTACATGGGGTCACTCTGAGTCGGAACTGACTTGACGTCATCTAACACCACCAACGACAGCAGTCACTGGTTTATAGCCCTGAATTCTGTTGTTGAGCAGGGTAAGAGTTTTTTAGTAGAGCATTGCACTTATCATTAGTATCCTTCATTTTGTGTGCTGCTCTGTTACTTCCCCAAAAGATGATCTCAGCTGATAGTTTTGGTTCAGGGTTTAAAGAGTATCTCAAGGAGGTAGTCTCAGGGAATCCTCTGGTCTCAACTCGTTCAGTAAATTCTTTTTAAGAATTTGAGTTCTCTTCCACATTTTTCTCCCCTTCTTCCTCTTATGCTATTTCTGAAGATCTCTGTTCATTTGTTCATGCATTTGTATTTTTTTCCTTCAGCAATGAGTTACTGTTGTATGCCAGGTACTATGCGAGCAGCTGGGGAAACAAAGATGAAAAGGCTCAGACAGTAATGGTGGGGATAAACATCCAGCTACTTTCTTATCATACGATGTGAAAATCGCTCTAATAGAAGTACATGCAAAGCATTATGGAAACACCGAGGAGTAACCAACCAAGGCCCAAACAAAAATTTCTCAGGAGAGATCTTGTTAGAAATGGGTTTTAAGGAGAAGTTTGTTAGAGATAGGATGGGAACAGGAGAGGCATTTTGAGCAGTGAGAGCAACATGTGTCTAAACTCTGAAGGATGAATGAGCTTGGTGTGTTTTGGGAAAGGAGAGATGTGACAGGAAATGAAGTCGGGAGGATGGGTGGGGCTAGGTTTTGAAGGGCATATTATTGCAGGCCTAGGATTTGAGCCAAGGATACCGGTGGCAGAATGATTAAGTGCTCGGCTGCTAATGGAAAGGTCTGCATTTGGAGCCCACTCAGTGGGAGAAAAGACCTGGCAACCTGCTCCCGCAAAGGTTACAGCCTGAGAAACCCTATGGGGCAGTTCAGGTCTCTGTGAGTTGGAATCAACTTGATGGCACACAACAACGACAATTTAAACCTATATGTAAGGGAAAGCTAATGGTGATTTTAAAGCTGGGGGTGGGGAAGAGATGAGTCATGACCAGATCTTTCCGTAAGAAAAATAAAACTGGTAGAGGAGACTGTGGAGAGAATGGTGGCAGAGAGATAAGTGACGAGGTTGTCTAGGAAAGACTGTGAAAATGGCCTGGCAGTGTCTAACCTCCTCTAACTTCACAAGGGGAAAGGAGAATCAAGATCAATAGCTACAGGTTGATTCCTATGAGGCGGAGATCAGACATGCCTCCTCTCTTGGCCATCTTTACCAATTCTGACACCAACCATCCCTCCCACAGCACTTTGTACTTGTCTGCTTGTTCAATAATTCATTGTAGTGGCCACACAGAATTCACAGACAATATTCACCATTATGGGGTTTATTAGGGAAGTAACAGGTTACAATTCAGGATCAGGAACAATCAGGATACAGTTCTTCCATCAGGACAGCCTCTTTTCAGCTGTGCTCGCAGACACACCTCTCTCTGGCGCTAGGCCTCTGCCCTGCTGAGGCAAGTTTTACAGAGTTCTTTTTGCCACTGCCGTTAAGTCCCCAGAGGCACCTCGGACACTGAACTTTCTCATGCCGTTGGCCAGGTCTCTCCTGCCACCGCTTCTCACCATCTTCTGGGTTACAGCTCTCTCTCTCTCGGTCTCCTGATTTCAGGAGCTTCTCAGTGCAGGGATCCTTGGTCCAAAGGACATGCTGTCTGCTCCTGGCTATTCTTCCTTTGGTGGTGGTAGTATCTTCTCCTTCTTGTCTCTGGTATGGCTCATTTCAAGCCCAGTGGGATGGCAAAAACTGACCAATCCTCTTGGTGAGACACAATTACCCTATTTGCATGGTCCCATCCAATCACTTGGGTGGGAGTTACAAAACCAAGTGAGAAAGGCCACACAAAAGTGATCCATTGCACTGCAGAGATGGTCCAAGTAATAGATGTTGGGGCCTAAATTAGGTCAGTAGTGAAGCATGAAGTGTGAATGAAAGAGGGATGTTACAGCAGTATTTCTCCAAAGTTCAGTGTTCGAAACACCAATCCTGAATGATTTACCTTGACAAAAGAGTTCTCTGGTCAAATAAGTTTGAAAAGAATGCATACTGTATTTTCTTCCTGGAGATTCATATTGTACATTAGTATATTGAAACCTTTGAGAAATACTGCCTTAAAGAAATCTGTTTTCTGTTTTTAACCTGGTGGCTTAGTGGTAGAATCCTTGCCTTCCGTTCCAAGTTCAATTCCTGGCTGATGCACCTCAAGCACTTCTAGGGAGAAAGGCCTAGTCATCTACTTTTGAAAAATCAGCCAGTGAAAATGCTACGGATTACAACAATCTGATCCCATTGTGCATGGGCTCACTAAGAGTTGGGTGCTGACTCAACAGCAGCCAACAACAACAATCTCTAAGTCATTTGAATAAAGAGCCTCCACTTTTCATATTATGCCAGTTATTGTCCTTAAGACTAGTGTTCCTTTTAACATATTTTGGAAGAACATTATATGACTGCGTTCAGTGCCTGGGCAGAACTTTGGGTTGTCCCCTTTGGGAAGAGGAAGAGTGTGTTCTGTCAGGGAACAAGAATGAAAATGAGATTGTTGGTAAAGTTCCTGAGGTTTCTAGACTGGGAAACTGGGCAACATCATTAAATTTAGATAGGAATTAAAGGGGAGAAGCAGGTTTTGGAAGGAATTAAAGGGGAGAAGCAGGTAGGGAAAGGGATGGGGAAGATAATGAATGGTTTTAGACCTGTTAAGTAGACATGCGTATGGAAATAACCATTAGGAAGCTGCAAATGGAGATCTAGAGTTAACGAGAGAAGTAAGCTAAGATTGAAGATAGATGTTTGAGGATCACTGCTGTACAGAAATTGTGGACTTTATGGATTCAGTCAACATTTATGCTGTTGAAAAAAGGTATTTGCAATGAAGGTCTTGCAAAATTCTATCATGCAATCTCCAGCGTCTTTCTATCACCAAGGCCACATTTTCCCACTACCAATCCTTCTGCTTTGTTTCCAATGTTCACATTCTAATCGCCAATAATTATCAATGCATCTTGATTGCATGTTGATCAGTTTCAGACTGCAGAAGTTGGTAAAAATCTTCAATTTCTTCATCTTTGGCCTTAGTGGTTGGTGCCTAAATTTGAGTAATAAAAGTATTAACTGGTCTTCCTTGTAGGCTTATGGATATTATCCTATCACTGATGGCATTGTACTTCAGGATAGACCTTGAAATGTTTTTTTTGTTCATGAACACGACACTATTTGTCATGGTTTGAATTATGTCCCCCCAAAAAATGTGTGTATCAGTTTGGCTAGGCCATGATTCCTGGTATTGTGTGATTTTCCTATATGTTGTAAACCTGCCTCTATGATGTTAATGCGGGAGGATGGGTGGCAGTTGTCTTAGTAAGGCAAGACCTGATCTACAAGACTGGATTGTGTCCTGAGGCAATCTCTTGAGATATAAAAAACAGAAGTAAGCAGTGAGACAAGGGGACCTCACACCATCAAGAAAGCAGTGCCGGGAGCAGAGCGCGTCCTTTGGACAGGGGTCCCTGTGCTGAAAAGCTCCTAGTCTGGGGGAACACTGATGAGAAGGACGAGAGAGAGAGAAAGACTTCCTCTGGAGCTGACACCTTGAATTTGGACTTTTAGCCTACTTTACTGTAAGGAGATAAACTTCTCTTCATTAAAACCATCCACTTGTGGTATATCTGTTGTAGCAGCACTAGATGACTAAGACACCATTCTTCTTCAATTTGTCGTTCCCTGTATAGCAAACCATATGATTGTCTGATTTAAAATAACCAATACTAGTCCATTTCAGCTCACTAATGCCTAGGATCTCAATCTTTATGCATTCTGTTTCATTTTTGACAACTTCCAATTTTCCTAGATTCATACTTCGTACATTCCATGTTCTGAGTATTGTTTGTAGTTGTTTCTTCTCATTTTGAGTCGTACCACATCAGCAAATGAAGGTCCCAAAAGCTTGACTCCGTCCACATCAAGATCGACTCTACTTTGAGGAGGCAGCTCTTCCCCATTTGTATTTTGAGCGCCTTCCAACCTGAGGAGCTCATCTTCTGGCACTACATCAGACAATGTTTTCCTGCTATTCATAAGGTTTTCACTGGCCAGTTTTTTCAGAAGTAGACTGCCAAGTCCTTCTTCCTAGTCTGTATTAGTCTGAAGCCTGTCCACCATGGGTGACCTTGGTGGTATTTGAAATACCAGCAGCATAGCTTCCAGCATCACAGCAACACCCAAGCCACCACAGTACGACAAACTGACAGACACATGGTGGTATACACACACACACACACGCATGCACACACACACACACACACACACATATCTCTCAAATATCTTTGGTTTCTTCCCTTCCTTATTCCATTACTTATTATGAAATTGTCTTAGTCATCTAGTGCTGCTCCAACAGAAACACCATGAGTGGATGGCTTTAACAAAGAGAAGCTTATTTTCTCACAGTCCAGTAGGCTACAAGTCCAAATTCAGGGTGTTAGCTCCAAGGAAATGCTTTCTCTACTGGCTCTGGAGGAAGGTCTGTGTCATCAGCCTTCCCTTGGTCTGGAAGGTCCTTGTGATGCATCAGTCTTCCCTTGGTTTGTGAGCATCTCAGTGCAGGAACCTCAGGTCCAAAGGATACACTCTGCTCCCGGCACTGCTTTCTTGGTGGTATGAGGTTCCCATGTGTCTCTGCTTGCTTCTCTCTTTTATATCTCAAAAGAGATTGGATCAAGACACTATCTAATCTTGTAAACCTCATCAGCATAATCTCATCACGCTGATAGAATTTATAACGTGTAAGGAGATCACATATAACCTCATCATAGTGATAGAGTTTACAACACATAAAATCACATCAGAAAATCATACAGTACTGGGAATCATGACCTAGCCAAACTGACAGATATTTTTGGAGGACACAACTCAATCCATGACAGAAATATATGAAATATAAGATGGAAACAGAGCTAGTGTTTTTGGTTGTATGCATGTGAGTTCTATCATGTTAGGCACAAGTATGGCTTTATAATTGTCTTTATGTAGAGATTAAGTATGGTTTAAAAGATGGGTATAGGTGCCAAGTTGACAAGGGATGGACTGTGATGGTTAAGATTATGTGTTAACTTGCCTAGGCCATGATTCTCAGTGATTTGGCAGATATTATGTAATAATCCTCCATTTTGTAATCTGATACGAGCAGCCGACCAGTTGAAAGGTGAGTTTCTCTGAGGGTGTGGCCTGCACCCAAGATATGTGGATGTTCTGGCACAGCTCATCCTCTCTCAATTCTGCATCCAACTCGTCATCCTCTGACCTCCTGTTCATGGGACGTAAGCCAGCAGCCTGCTGTCTGACCTGCAAATTTTGGGTTTGTCGGCCCCTGCAACCACATGAGTCAGGAGAA